AGACCAATGTCATTGGAAATTCTGTCTGTGATTATTACGCCTTCCTCAGAGAATTTTTACGTTGGATGGAGAGCAGTAAAAAGAACAGCAGGAGTGAGAACTAGGAATCATGAGGAGATTGATCTAAAGATAAAGTGATTACTGGAGCAAAGGGAAAAAGCTGACAGAAAGGCAGAACAGTCAGAAGCAGGTAGTGCACATACATAGAGAAAGTAGTCATGGACAGTTGAATTCCAGAATGTTTCAACTTTGTGGTACGCGGGAATTGTGATTATGTCAATGTGAAATATTGAGGTAAAACCACAGTTCTAATGAAAAATTATGTGATCAAGTAAAAAATAAGAGTTTTGCCAACAGGACAGTTTAAAAATTAGCTACGTTAAGGGATGATTACCATCTTTCTAGTTTGTTCTTCTTGTTGTCTTTTATGTAGCCTTATTTAAACATTGGCACAAACACATCACTGAAATAACTCCACAGATGCTGGTATCCCGTCACCAAGTCACCTTTTATTTATATGTGGAGAGTCCTTGACACTGATCCAACTCCCTCAAGGCCAGCTTGCAGAGTGCCAGAATATCTGACATCCTGCTTTTATCTATCAGGCAGGGCTCGCTGAATAGACCAGGTTGACAGTCCCAATCAGGGAACTCATTCTGTGAGGTTTACCTGGCTGACCTCATTACAATCACTACAGTAAGAAATATTTCACATAGCTGTCATTAATTTTATTGCAGCATGGTATAAAGTAGTAGGGAAGTAAAGCCAATGCTGCTACTGCTTTTACTGTCAACATTTCAAACATCACACAGGAGATCCAAGTCTTTTGTGATTTTATTAAAAATTACTCTTTTGTTTGCAGGTTTATTTTCTTTCCTTTCTTTAAAGTACTGACTTATGCTGAAATCTAACTCCAAGGGTGGTTTCAGCCTTTCAACATTTAAGAACATAAGAAATAGAACTTCAGTAGGCCATTTTAACTTACAAGTCTGTTCCACCAATCAATAAGATCATGGTGATTTACCTCAACTCCACATTCCAACACTATTCCCATATCGTTTCTTTCCATTAGCATTCAACAATCCATCAACCTTTATCCTGAATACATCAATGACAAAGCATCCATAGTTCTCGTGGGTAGGAGTATTTCAAAGATTTACAAGCTTTAGATTGAATGAGAACCTCCTTTCAGGAGTGACACCTCCTCTCCATTTCTAGATTCCTTTGTCAAACAAACTATCCTTCCAGCATGTACTATGTCAACTCGTTGAAGAATTTATGTTTCAATTAGATCACCTTTCATTCTTGTGAACCGTAGGAAATATAAACCTATATGTTCCTCATAAGACAATTCCTTAATCCCAGAAGTCAGTCCAATGATCAGAGTTGCACTTTTCTCTGAGACATATATCTTATTTTCAACCAAACGTAAGCAGTACTCCAGGTGAGATCTCACCAACAACCTACGTGATTACAGTAAGACTTTTTTACTCTAATCCCTTTGTAGTAAAGGCTAGCATATCATTTTCCTCTTAATTGATTTCTGCAGGTTAACTGCATTTTAACTTCATGTAATTCAGCAACAAAGACATGCCTCTGAATATTGTTTTCCCATTTCTTCCCATTTGAAAAATGTAGTGGCTATGCAAGTGGTATCTTTCAGTAACAAGATGGTGCCATGGGTCCATGCCTGTCACACAATTGAGCGATGAATTTTAATGCTGGTGCAATGCCAGCTGTGCAAGCCATTTGTCCCAGGACTTGGCTGATTGAATCAAACAGCATGTTCCATTAGTAGTTTAAAATATTCAAAATACAGACAAAGTACTAAACCAGTCCACATTTGTAAGACCCAAACCAAATTGTCTGCTAGTAGATGTTCTGACGTGATTGGGCAATACTTGCACAACATCCCATGTGCAGTAATATACACAATAACAGCCAATCTAAGATAATCTGTTGAGTTTGTAACATTGCTCGTTTATGCAAGCTGGAAGTGACATACATTCATACATAAGGAGCCATCCCATGCAAGAGAAAGAAATATATTCAAAGTCTGCCCTCTTTGAATTATCCAGAAGCTTGGGGTGCCTATAGTTCATTTTTGTTTTCGCCAGTGGCAACACCCTTGCTAATCAGAGGTGACTTGGCAACTGATCAACACCTTTTTCTTCTGTGGTATAACTTGTGACCATCTAAAGTTTGGCATTCTTGTTTGTCCTGATGAGTGAAAAATGAAAATCCTTGGCAACATGTGTCTCATTTCAGTGACATTTAAAGAATGTTCTGCTTTTCTACTTTTCTTACCATTGTAAATTACTTTGGAATTCTTGATGTTTTATTACATATGCCTTGCTCTTGTCCAATCATTTTAGCAGCCTATATCCCTTTGTAGCCTCCTTGCATTGCATCACAGTTTAGTTTCTCATTTAAGTTTGCACCATGAGCACATTTGGGCACATTGTAAAGAATTCCCACACAATTAATTGCTGTAGGTCCAACCAGCAGTTTTTTGTGGTACCCAATAGTTACAGCCTGCTAATTCCGAAATGACCCATTCTTTCACCTATTCCAGTGCTCTGCTGGCAGTTCTTTTACATTCTATCCTTAATAAATAAGGTCATTCAAAATGAGTTTCTCCAACACTTGCTATTTTTATTTCAGATTTCCAGCATCTAATATTACTACAATAATTGGAATGTAGGAATATTACTACAATTCCATGAGCCCTAATTTAGTGTAATAACGTCTTGTGTGGCAATTTGCTCAGCTGACCCTTCCTCATACAGGAGTTTACTCAATGAACATTATTCGGGCTGTTTAAACATAGGTAGTATTAAAATTATTCTGGTCCTATCCTCACCTACTGACTGTAAATATTTTATTTCTGGCGAGGACAACCATCAGAAACAGAGGTTCTGACTGATTCTCCATCTCCTTAACCCAGGAATACCGAGGCCAATTCTAGCATTCCAACTGCTACATTTACGAATGACAGTTGCTACGAAATTTGGCTGGTGGCAGCGTAAACTAGTTAATAGCAAATTGGCAGCCCATTTTACACCACTTTGTGGGGCATCCTTTCTTTCAGACAGGGTGTTAAAATAGACTGTGATTCACTTTGGATACTGCCATTATAGCAATTAGAATGCTGTAAGTTTTCTGAGCACTTGCTCAAAAATCAAACTTCCGGATCATGTTGTAACAGAAAGCCTTTTACCCTAAAACCATTCAGAGACCTCTGATTTTTCAAGTTTATTACAATGCATCGGAATCATGCACCATTTTCATTTACAAATATATAAATGAAGTAACATCATTGTGTGTAGATCTGGGTTTTCCTGTTCTACCAGTGCTTCCAAGAACAGGTAGGATTTTTAACCTTGCTAAGCCACTTGGCTGCATTACGAATGTACATTTTTGATTGCTGTCTCGTATCACCAATGTGTGCAATAACTGTCTTAAGTTGCAGTTGCTAACGGTACAATTCACTGCCAATGAAGTCACATCTCCAGTTCACAGTTCAAAGAAGCAGTGAAGTGGAGCACAAAATAAACATTTCCCCAATGAGAGCTGCATTCTACCCTGCTAGTCTGTTGCTGCATGGCCCATTAGGTCAGGACACATCAATTTTATTTCAGACCTACATACATTTAAGGGAGTATCATTAGTGATACTACATAAAAAAATCAAATTATTAAATGTAGCAATATTATTTTGCCATCTAGATCACAGAATACGTTCTTAAAACTACTAAAATTAAATGAACCTTTAGATTACAATTTTCAATTCTTCTTGAAAGTGTAATAATCCTTCATTTGAATATTACTTATGATCTGAATAATTATCTGACTTCAGTCTTGCACTGCATCTTCTGAACCTGACTTATAGCCTGGCTCAATCTGCAATTAAGTGGTGCTGGGATAGAAGAGGATGGAAGAAGATTTTGATTCTATACTATCATTGAAGTCTGCCAACACAATTTCAGCCAATGTCACTATTTGTATTCCCAAGATGTTGCAAAGCAAACACTTATAAAGTAGAAGATAATATCTCAAGGACAGAATGGAACATCCAGTGATGAAAGTTATTCAAAATTCAGCCTCGCTTCACTAAAGTGCCTTTTGGTATGGTGACCATGCAATGTTCAGAGATGTCAGGGCATGAGCTGCAATATTCAATATATTATTTTTGTATTAAGATGTTCTTAGATTTTTTTAGTTGCCTCCATAGGTGCATCAATACTCTTTGCAACTACTGTTTTGGGATGCCTTGAGATTGCAAACAGTACTGCAAAAATCCAACACTTTCTCCCTTTATTTTTGACAAAACACACTTTCGATACATCATGAAGAAGCACCATGTTTGATAACTCAGCCTTTGATCATTTTTAAATCTTAAGTACTTTAATATATACAGACGTGCAAAATAAATATATGTTTAAGAGTAAACAAGTGTGGGAGTCTTGATGCAGGCTATAATTAATAGCAACTTCAGACACCAGGGGATTAGAGTGCTTGACAGCAGTGGAAATAAGTATCTGTTCTCTACAGGTGGAACACCACCCGCAGCACGACTCAGAAATAGCAAAATGCATCAAATATGTATTTTCAAATTTGCGAAGCTTTGAGTCTTATTGCGTGGTTACAGACTAAGGTGTCTGGAGTAAATATAACAAAGAAATGCGATTGCTAGAAATCAGAAACAGAGCAGAATTCTGCTTTATCTCCACAGATGCTGCCAGACCAGCTGAGTTTTACTAGCAATTTCTGTTTTTGCTAAATATTAAAAACCTGTTTCATGCTGGAATCACCCTCAAAATGTGAATTAGATTTTTCCCAGCAATGTTGCATTTAAGTTGAGATTTGTTACTTTTCATTATTCATACGTGAAAGTAGTAGAATCATAGCACAAAATGCCACTTTATAAATGGATATGATATGGAAGCACCACTAAAGAAAGAGCTGATATGAAATTCCTTTTTTGACTTTTTTCAACAGTGCTCACACAGGGGCCATAACATTGACTTTCTTCTTGGTGACACCAGTCCAGAGGATTGGTAAATATCCATTACTTTTAAAAACTATACTGGAAAATACAGCACCATCTGATGAAGGTTACACTGCACTAGAGAAAGCTACAGTGGCGATGCAAGAAGTAAATTATAATATCAATGAATACAAGAGACTAAAGGAAGTAGGTAAGTGTTGTCTAAGGTAATAGCTCTGAAAGAGTTTAATGTTGAATTTGTATTATCTCTACCAAATCTGATGGTCTCACAGTCTTTGGACTGAGGCAATTTAATTCTACACTAACCTTTGTGGGGAGCAGCTATATTCTGTACAACTCCACAGGTTATTATGTACAGAATTTTCTGGTACAGAAGGTAATTTTTCATGACTAGTAATTTGAATGGTTCTTACTGCTATCATACAATCAATGGTCTATCCTCTACTGCTAATAATTAGACAGGCCCCAGGCACATGTAAATAAAGCAGGATTAGTGGCAGCAAGTTATGTCAAATAACCCTTACTCTGTGCCACATACTGGCTGAGGTGGCAGATACCATAAGGTTTCAGCAGTGGCAATGTGAGCAATAACACAATAAGAATTATCTTTTACTTTTACAGTTTGTTTCTTTCCCCTCTGAAAGTGGCCACATGCCCATTTATCTGTATCATAGGTAGAGTAAAGGTATGTGTGAATCTTTTTTTGTTGTCAATATTGATGCCATCTTGTGGGCTAGGTACTTGCAGCTTATAATAATGACTCCTTATGCTTACACAGCCCTTTAATTAGGTGAATTATCTCAAGGTACTCCACAAAAGGTTGTTTACATACCAAAAAGCAGTTGGGAGAAATGAGAGAGATGTCAAAGGTATAATTGGGAGGTGATGACTTAGTGGGAATCATAAGACTAATAATTCTGGGTATATGGGGTCAAATCCCATCATATCAAGTAATGAAATTTGACTCCCATTAAAAAAATACTGGAATAAAATAAAAGCTTGCCGAATGACAACCATATAATCATTATTGATTGTTGTAGAAATGCATCTGGCCTGATGACAACCATGAAAACTTGTTGATTATTTTTAGAAACCCATCATGTTCATAACTGTTCCTTAGGGAAGGAAATCTGCCATTCTTACCCAGTCTGGGCTACCTTTGACTGCAGATCCACAGCAGTGTGGTTGACTCTTAACTGCCTTCTGTGCAATTAGGGTTAGGCAATAATTGCCAGCCTAGTCAGTGACACCCACATCCATGAATTAATTTTTAAACATCTCAAAGTCAATAATTTGTCTTCAATTTTATAAGGTTTGTTTTAGCAAACAGCATCATCTGTGAAACCTTATGAATTCCCTTCTGAAGGAAGGTAGCAAGGACTTCGAGTATTCTACAAACATGGATGGCAATTTTGAAATCATTGAATTGAAGCAAGGACCAGGCAGTAGAAGATCAAAGTACAGTGGTTGTAGGCAAAAATGATTGTGAGTAATTTTGACGAGAGTAATGTTCATGCACAGGCCATACAGAAGCCAGATTGAAGGAATTGGCACAGGGAATAGACGGCAGAAGTGAAGTCGCAAAGTGGATAAAGAAATGCACAGTGATAGCACATTCATGGATCTTAAAGGAACAAGCATGGTTAGAACTGAGACAAGAGGTAAAAAGAAGAGAAACAACGGGACAAAGAAGTGTCCTCTAGGGTTAGAGTAATAAAGCAGTTTTGTCGTTAGGGAGAAAGTGAGCAGTTACTAATATTTGTGATAAAGAAGTAAGGAGAGTTAATTAGTTGATTCAAGAATGGGAGGAAATGGTTGGAACAAGCAGGGGAGAAGCTGAAGAACTCATTAACTGTTTGTGAAGTTTGTGAATGTATAGGAAAGTTGTATCTGAAAATTTAAGAAATGTGCCATGTGTAGTTCAGCGTTACTACGAAATGCACCTGATATATCAATAAGGAAGATCTGGTGCAAAAGAAAAGGACAGAGTATAATGGAATGACATTAGCAAAGACCTAGATCTGACAATTTCCCATAACATTCTGATTGTAGTTATATCAGCAAACATGCATCATCTACTAGGTTTTAGACCAGTCACATGTAAATACCAGACATCATTTCATTGCTAATGTTTTATCTTTCTTCCAATTCCAACAGTAACGAAATACAGCAGACAAGAAAATCTTTCATTAAGGGATACAATAGGCAGAATAAACAAGCATTCCATTGCAAAGAAGGCATCCAGACTCAGCCAAGTTATTAAACATGAAACAGGAATCCTTCCAAAAGTAAGTTCTTTGTTCAGATGTTAATTTGCTACATGCAAAAAAAAATGCAAGATTACATTGTAATCTACAAGTAAAACCATAGCATTGACTTTTGGCAATATTGTAATTAGTGTGAATAAGCTGCAGATCCCAAGAATCAATCTAAACTCAAATGTACTGAAGTGATTCAGATGGTGCACAATAATATGAATGTGACCCAGTTTGCCATCTATAGATTTCAAGTTTTTAGTCCTTCTAAGAAAAAAACAGTGATGTGTTTGAAGTAGGGTGAAAATTAGGGCCGGCATATGATAATATGATTCACTTAAATCAAAAGGTGGCTCAGAAGTGACATTAAAAGAAGAAATGCTGACGTTTCGGGCCTAGACCCTTCATCAGAAAAGGGGGAGGGGAAGGGGGTTTTGAAATAAATAGGGAGAGAGTGGGAGGCGGATAGAAGAGGGATAGAGGAGAGGATAGGTGGAGAGGAAACAAACAGGTCGAAGAGGCGGGGATGGAGCCAGGAAAGGTGAGTGTAGGTAGGGAGTTAGGAAGGGGATAGGTCAGTCCAGGGAGGACGGACAGGTCAAGGGGGCAGGATGAGGTTGGTCGGTAGGAGATGGAGGTGCGGCTTGAGGTGGGAGGAGGGGATAGGTGGGAGGAAGAACAGGTTAGGGAGGCAGGGACGAGCTGGACTGGTTTTGGGATGCGGTAGGGGGAGGGGAGATTTTGAAACTTGTGAAATCCACATTGATACCATTGGGCTGCAGGGTTCCCAAGCGGAATATGAGTTGCTGTTCCTGCAACCTTCGGGTGGCATCGTTGTGGCACTGCAGGAGGCCCAGGATGGACATGTCGTCTGAGGAATGGGAGGGGGAGTTGAAATGGTTCGCGACTGGGAGGTGCAGTTGTTTATTGCGAACCGAGCGTAGGTGTTCTGCAAAGCGGTCCCCGAGTCTCCGCTTGGTTTCCCCGATGTAGAGGAAGCCACACCGGGTACAGCGGATGCAGTATACCACATTGGCAGATGTGCAGGTGAACATCTGCTTGATGTGGAAAGTCTTCTTGGGGCCTGGGATGGGGGTGAGGGAGGAGGTATGGGGGCAGGTGTAGCACTTCCTGCGGTTGCAGGGAAAAGGGCCGGGTGTGGTGGAGCTGGAGGGGAGTGTGGAGCGGACAAAGGAGTCACGGAGAGAGTTGTCCCTCCAGAAAGCAGATAAGGGTGGGGAGGGAAAGATGTCTTTGGTGGTGGGGT